CCCCCCCCCCACCATGTACTCTGTGCCTACTTGTTACATGCAGGTGCAGTAATTGTTTCTACACCACAAGACATTTCACTGATAGATGCACGTCGTGGAGCAAACATGTTTCGGAAAGTTGATGTGCCGGTAAGGAGAGACAAGCCAGTCACAGAGAGGATTTGAGGACTTTTTCTTTTTTGTTTTATTTTAAGGGAAAACTAAGCGGGAGTCACAAAAAGAGTTTGAAAATACTCTTTGGGCAAAAAACAGTTTCAAATTTTACTTTATGTATACAACCTAGCTTTCGGGTCCAGGTAGGGTTACGTAGGGGTGTGTTGTGTTTGAGGGAATGCCCGAAGTGTAATTTCAAACTGTATTTGTGACTGTACTGAAGTTACCCCTTCAAAAAAGAAAAAAAAGAAAAAAAAGAAAAAAAGAAAAAAAGAAATTGAATTGTGTGATGACTCTGTGAACTCGCACTTGAAAAATTAAAAAAGAAATAATCTGACTCTGTGAAAAAAAACCTTCGCTTGCACCCACAGATGGTGATATATAGACAGAGACGCCTGTATGGGTGTCACGGCATTGCGCAACACTCTACATGTATCTTGACGGAATTTGCAGCCCAAATTCATTCGGAGAAATCCAACATTTTTTTGAATGTATCCGGGCCATGACGGGGAGCAGATACATGTAGAACGTCGCTGTTCATCAGAATCGTAGTCTTTCTCCTCCACTGCATTCTCGTCCTCCGCCCAACACTTCCCTCCATTGCACCGGTCTCTTCCACGACCTTCCGTTGTGTGTAGGGCGGACGGTCACGGCTGCAACAAGAGCCGCGAAGTTCAAAATGGCCTCTTCCCGCCGGCGGGCTCCAACAACCACACCACTTCTCTCTGGCCTGCTGAAGCTCACCCAAAGGGCCGGTCCAGTTGGCCCAACGGTCCAGCAAAAACTGCGCCAACAATTTTCGGGGGTCCACCAGGCACTGGAAAATCGCCTGGGGACCCCAAATTGTTTTTTTCGGATTTTCTAGAAATGGGGCTCGGAGATCTCTCTCTTGCGCGAGCGCCGGCCGGTAAGCGCTCCTGCCCTGCGCCAACTTGCGAAGCGCTGCAAGCACGAACCTACACGCGATGTCGAAGCACGCCATTGTCGAATAAGTCACACGCCATCGCTGGGGAAGAGGTAGCTCCCCCACCGCGCCCTTCGGGCGCGGCCGTGTGGCGTCGAAACTATTGAAGACCGCATTCTCCATCGCCTACGGCTGGAGAGAGGAGGTGCTAAGAAAGCCAACGTCGCTGGAGTCAAATCAAAAAGGGTAATCTAACACAAGCGCGAACCATCGCGCGGCTTCGGGACACGCCTTCACCACAAGAGTCACAAGACAGCGCTGAGATTGTGGTAACCGCCCCTTGCACCTGAAGACGCCTTGAAAGGAAGAATGCGAATCTTCACCATCGTCGACATCGTATGAGATCAAGAAATACAACAGCCAACGCCGAGGGATGCATAATTGGAGGCAGCACCGCGTCTATTGACGCAGCCGTTTCGTCTTCGATCCAAGAGTGAACTTCGTCAAAAGAGAAGTCATCGCCCCCCTACTAACGCCCACTTCCCTTCCCGGCTTCCCCATTCCCGACCCAGGTATCCCGTGATATCTTCCTGCGATCTACCCTAGGATTCGATCAAGCCCACCTATTATCTTATCTCTATATTATCACAAAATCTGTTCTCCGCCCCACCCCGTACCAATCCCGCCTCCCCCCCACCTCTGTCACCCCCCAATCCCGACCTGTTCCGTTTTCGCTCCCTCGATAGTCTCTCCTCAATCGCGACCCGACCTCATCTAGATACCGCCTGGGATCTCGGATCCCGCCAGTCTCGCACCCACCGCAACTTCCCCTCGATCCCGCACCCAATCTCAACTTGAGACTAACGTGGACATCATACCGATTCAGCCTCGATCCCACCTCAATACCCCCTAACCCTCGATCCGTTCCTACCCCGCCCCCAAACCGACCTCATCCCGGCCCTATCCCGATCCCACCACGACAATCCCACCTCAGCCCCCCCTCAATCCCACCTGCATCTAATCCTAGTACACTCCCACATCAGCCTCCCCTCATCCCCGACCCGATCCCATCCCGATAAGATCTTCGATATCATACCGACCCCCTTTCGCCCCCACCCCAGCCTCTCCACAATCCCGATCTGTTCCTGCCCCGATCTCAGTCCGACTTCACTCCACTCCCATTCCGATCCCACAACACCCTCGGATACATCCCTTTGCCGCATCGCTACCATTCTGTTTTTCAATCCATACCCCGCTTCACTCCCCACTCCGATCATTCCCAATCCCACCTCGTGTCAAGCCTGGGCCCACCTCGGCTCAGGCCTAACCCCGAGTGCGTCCCACACCCCGGTCCTTTCCGTATCTCTATCCCACGCATTGGATACATCCCGTCACTGAGCGCCTCCATCCTATCCCCACTTTGTGCCTAAACCGATCCCACTCTTCTTACACCCCGATCATGTCCCGTCCCCATCTCGCCCCAATCTCAACCTCATACTAACTCTATCTCAAACTCATCCCTTCCTGACACCAACCCCACCCCAAACCCGCTCTTTTCCTCCCTGATCCAAAGAGCGTTACAGAGAGACCTCCTAGACTCAGACCAACAGTCCCCAGCAAGTCACCCCGATCCACACACACGGTAACACCCCCACTTACCGCCTTCCAGTACCAATCCATCCTTCCTCCGATTCGACCACCCTCACAGGATTCACCACGGACTTCCCGTTACTAACCCATAAATCTTGAACGGGAAGAAACCCTCCTTTCTTTTCCCTCTCTTGCCTCAGCAATCCTATTACATTATCAGCTCCCCCTGAGACGACTGATCACTCACTTGGATGAAATAAATAGACGGACTGGTTAGTGTCGAGACGTTTGGGAAAGGACTCCATTTTGACATTCGGAATGGCATCACCAACACAAAATACGAGCGCAATAGCCACAAACACGGGGGAAAAGGGAATCAGCGTAATCGATAATGAAGCACTCAAATTTTGGATTGACAAAACGCGTGCCCAAGGGATACAAACCACTGAGATGCAAAGAACAGATGGGAAGGAAGAGGAAGTCATTGTCTGGAAATATCCGGAAGAAAAGGTTGCAGAACTGGATGTGCTGCATGAGAACCACGCAGTGGTATTCAACTTCATCCGCAATGGAGCAGAATTTCAACAAGCGGAAAAGAGAAAATGGGTGATAGAAACAATCAAGAAAGAGCTGAAACTCAAAACAGTCAGGGGAAACATTCACACTTCAGAACCTGGGCAGGAACAATATCATGGCCTTGTTCGTTCGTGAGGAACACGCCAAAGCCACAACTGATCTGCAGTCTAGAAATTGCAATGGCTCAGTTTGCTCGATCACGAAATGGAAGAAAGTAACCACGCAGAGACAAAACCCGGTTTTCGCTGTCTTACAAACAGACTCTGCTGAGAGAGAATTTCTGGGTTCAATTCGACAACATCCCACCGGGTTTTCATGGTCTGCTGGTTGATAGGCTGGAAAGACAGTACCCGGCCAACAGGATCCTCAAATGGATCCTCCCTACACCGGATTTTTTAGCCCCACACTGTGGCTCCATGACAGCGGTGTTAGAAGTAAAAACAGACAGCCCCCCGGTTTTCCCGCACACATGGAAGATGCAGATCAAAGAGAGGATGGTAGAGATCAAAGTCTCAACCAAATCCTCCCCGATCTGCTTCCGATGCAGGGAACGGGGCCACATGGGGACAGACCCAAACTGCCCGAAGTATCCGAAACAGCCAAAAGAAAGAAAACTTCTCCCAAACATGATGGTCGAAGTGGCGGAGGCCCCGGGAATCTGGTTCATCGCGGTCAGCAACTACAACGGCTGGGTGTTTGACGACAACCTCGAAGAACCAGATTGGGTTTGGCACTATGCTGACCAGGAACCCACAGTTAAGAAACCCAACATCTTCCCCCCGGCGGACAGCAGGTGGCAAAAGCAAGCGACAGGTAAGGTGACAGGCAACCCATCACGAATCAACACGGACCCGCTGATTGACTCACGGGTGATTAGTGAAGAGAAGGACAGAGAGGATCTGTTGTGGGACCTAGAGGCAGTTAGGGAACAAACGGTGCTGCAATTCAACAAAGAACCGACCGAATTCAGGAACTTATTAAGAGAAGTAGAACAAGCTGCGATCCAAAAGAAAGACACGACACAAGCAGACAACAAAAGAACCTTGGACAGTGATGGAGATCAGAAAGGGGACCCCAAAAGGCGGAAGGCAACGGACAAAGAAGGGAGAGAAGGAGTAGAGAGCGCCCCTAAGGAAGGGGAGGATGAGTATGGGAAAACGGACGTGGGAGGGACGGGATCTGAGAAGGAATCAGGAAAGAACAGCAGGGAGGAGGGAGTTTCGACACCAAGCAGCGAAGAGGAATCTCACCATTCGCTGCAGTGGTTGAGGGATTATGCGGAGAAGGCGAAAAGAGAGAGAGAACATGCTTTTGACATACGGGCGGCTTGCTTGAAACACGCAGAGAGAGTGCAGAAGAAGGGAAAGAAAGGAATGGGGGGGTATTCTAACAATCAATTTGATGTCCTCACGAAGGTCAAGGAGGAGGAGCTGTCAGAGGACACAACTTTCAGGTATGCAGAAAAGAAGAGAGCAAGGGAACAAGGTTTGAAAGACAATGATACAACGGGCCCGGTTACCAAGGACGAGTTTCAAGATCTGCGCCCCAAAAAATGGAAATCAGGCAAGAACCAGAAAAAGAAAGACCCAGAAGTGACGCAGATGGAGTCTGAGGAGAACTCGACACGTACCTTGCTAGAAAAGGGAGCAGCTGTAGTCCTTGCTCAAGTGGACAAACTGAAAAAACTGAATCAGGAATACACACCAGAATTTACAATGATCACACACATAGCCAGAGACCAGGCTCCTCTGGTAGTTGAGACAGCAAGATCGGCTCGCTTAACTCTATTGAATATCCGCCCTCTGGTTGCAGCAAGATATGTGGAGAGAATCAAGGAATGGCAGATAGCAACAAATGTATCATTCCAGATCCCCAGCTTTGAGGAAGGTCAAAACGTGGCACATAT